GAAGGAAAGGGGAGGGAAGAGGAGAAAACATCCACTGTCCACTGTCAGATACTTTTTTCATGTCATGGAAAACTACTGTGAATGGATAACTTTTCTCTGGATAAGGAGCAAAACTTAAAAGAGTTTATATTTTCAATTTTTGAAAAATGTAAACTAAAACGCATTTAAAAATTTGACAAAAAAAACCCTGTTCAATTCCAAAAGGATTCAAGGATAGCTCCATAGATGTACATTTTAATTGGTTCCAAATAATTCTTCAAGCTCTTGGCAAATTCTCACTGATCACTTCATGTTTTTCTCTAGTACCAAGGTTTTATTATACATACTGAATTTTAGGGCTGTCTAATTGTTGTTTATCTCTCCTTTCTAGATAGTTCCCCTTACTCAGTGGACAATTTGTACAATGGAGGTAATTCAATCAATCTACTTAGAACTAACTTAAATTAATGACCTTTTAAAATTTAGACATCCAATAAGTGGGAAGATAATATTTCACACATAATACCACTTTACAGGGTAAGTCTATTCCTAAAAAGTCAGGTTAATTTCTATAAATCAAGTTATATTTTTGTTTGTTTGTTTTTAATTTTTTCTTCTTTTAGTTGTCAATGGATCTTTACTTTATTTATTTATATGTGGTGCTAAGAATCGAACCCAGTGCCTCACACATGCTAGGCAAGCACTCTACCACTAAGCCACAACCCCAGGCCCAAATCATATCTTCATCCCTAGAAAATTTAGACCAGAGTCACACTTGTGAATTCTATAAATTGCTTTAAATCATATATTTAGAAAAGGAAAATAAAACTATATTTTTTATTTAAGAAATAATGGTCAAAATTATTTTGAAATAAAATGTGCTCTTTGACCTATACCCAAGTGAATAGAAAGAATACATATCCTTGGAATTACCTGCAACTTGAAAAATGGGAATTTCTGCGTATCCTCTACAGTAAGTATAGTGAAACCTCTTGTCTCTATGTCCACATATGTATTTCTACTATTTTATATTTCCTCTCTTTACATACACAAGAATTGCTAGTAAGATTAGCAACATTACTAATGTAGAAAGGACTGTATATAATTTGATAATGGGTACAGAGTAACACAATTCTGCATTTACTCATTATTTTTTTCATTCACTCATTCATTCTTCAAATATTTATTGTCAGCTACGCACAGTATTGTAGCTGCTGGGAACATAATGATGAACGAAACATTAAAAAAAAAAAAAAAAAAACCCTGCCCTCATGGAGCTTACACTCTAAATCCTCAAAAGGTATCTCCAGCTAAAATATAAGTATTCAAATATAGGAGGAAAGCTTTCTGAAAGTCTCCATGGGTCAGATAACCTAGAGGAGCAAAGCTACAAGTTTAACATTTGTAATCTGTTTATTTTTCTCAAAAATAAAAACAGCATCCTGCTTAATTTAATTTCCTTGCATTTTAATTTTTCTGTATACTACCACTAATTCTCTTCAATTTATACCTTCTAACATTTCTGATAAATATTATTTCATTTTAAGAGATTAAAAGAGAGATATTTAAAAACTTCCATTCTGATGATCAATTATCCAACAAGTGATGGTCTTCATAAAAACAATACTTTCTTATAAAAGAATTTCTTAAAAATTATAGGATTGTTTGCTACTGCTGCCTATTACTTAACCATTTGTTAATGATGCCAGTACATGAAGCAATTTCCTGATCTATTTGTTTAGTATCTTAACTTCTCTTGCTTTTATTGCCCCATGAAGTGGACTTCTGATTCCTAAATAGCATTGATATTTTGGTAAAAGCCACCATTAGAAACTAGATTTCCCCTGGCAGAGATTAGAGCTAATGACATTGCTGTCAGTAGTTAATGTGCTCTGGTCCTGTCTTCCATTGAGCTCTCAATTCCTACCTATACCTTGACTCTCCCTAACCATAATACACTCAGAATCAGGGTCAATTCTCCCCCTCTCCACCCCAGTACCGGGGCACTCTACCACTGAGCTATATCCCCAGTCCTTTTTATTTTTTATTTTGAGATAAAAGTCTCATTAAGTTGCCCAAGTTGGCCTCAAACTTGTAATACTCCTCCTGTCTCAGTCTCCCAAATAGTTGGATTAGAGGTGTGTGCCACCACACACTTGTAATCACTAGAGTGATACAAAGTGATACAAAGTTAGGAATTAGGATCCCAACTTTGTTCTGCACAGGATACAGAAAGATCCAGGCAGATTAAAGGAAATGTCACTCTGCATATGATTTCTGCATTGTCATTTCTATATTTATGTAACAAATATTTACTGAATGCTTATTAGGTTCCAGAAAATTAATTTCTTTTAATAGGAATATGACAACATTGCTCCAAAGAAAGGTTGGTTAACCTCTGACTTGGAAGTCACATTCAGTCTTCAGCTTAAATCTGGCCAAAAGAGAAGATATCAAGAAATGAAAACGGCACACTTTCAGAAGTCTTTAGAAGCATTAAGATGGAGACAAAATTCTATGAAGAGAGAAGGCCAGTGTCCTTTCCCTTTACTGCAGTGGATACTTCTCATTGTCTCTACTTCTTTGCTCTTGTTTTCTTTATTCTGCTTCCTTTCCTTAATTGGATATAGCAGGGCACATATTGTTAATTGTAATTACTGAATTATGTTCCCATTTTTAGTTTGAAAAGCAGACCAACTGAATATTTCATCTTTTTCTGATGATACAAACAAAAAACTTCATTTTGTTTTTGTTTTTGCTGTTTTGGGGGAGGGGGCAGTAAGAACAAAAAGAGTAGGTCTATATTCCTTGGCATTTCTTTTGAGGTTATTCACTCATTAAAAATACACGAAAAATAAAACAATAAACATTGAACTATAAGAATCTACATATAAAAAGGGAATACAATCAATGTTTATAAGGCATAAGCATAAAAGAGAAATAAATATTTCATGGGAAAAGTAAATTAAAATCTACCCAAATAATTATTTCAACAAAAAGCTGAATAGAAACAAATGCATCCAAAGGAAATGAGCTATTTATCATTTTTTACACACTGAAAATAAGGATTTTCCATTCCTATGACCAGGATTCAAGCAGATTTTGTCACAAAATTCTTTTATATTTTCCATTTCTCTCTTCAAAATAAATATTATGAACTGTAAATCATCCAAACATTTAATTTCCTAGAAATTAAATATCTTCCTAAAAACACTATGTGATCCCAATCACACAAGAATGTCATAGCGTCTTCTTTACCACACAAAAAACTATAATTAATAATTATAACTTATTCTTTATTTGTCATCTTTCTACAGAAATGATCAGGAGTTAGCCTTACCAGCAAATTATACATGTTATAAATACAAATTTTAATAGACTACTGTTTAGACTGTTGTGTTGTAAGTTTTTCTAGAACATGACATCACAAAGTAAGTCATTAATTCCAAAAACAATAGTTTATTAACAAAAAAGTACAAATAAGTACAAACGCACATCCTATTTCCCCCATATGGTCTGTCTATCTATCTACCTATTTATCCTCCTTTCATTCCAAGACACGTTCTTGTGGAGGTTTTAGAATGGGTAAAATACTTCTGTTTTCAACAGGTCCTAATCACCATCCCCAAACAAATCATTATGTATTTAAATTATACAGTCCATGTCTTCTCTAGTTTTATCTATGAATTACCAGAAAAGCCTCTTCCCTTATAATGTACCACATACCTATAGTGAATGAAATACATCAGTGTCAACATTCATAAATTACGTTTAGACACAGGAAATAACATTATCACCAGTATGTGTGTCTTGAAGTAACACTTTACAAGTGAAAGCTTAGAGGTATCAAAAATTATTTTTATAGGTATGTACTAAAAACACTTCAAAAGAGATCAAAAACCTCGTTAACTGAACTAGTCTGAGGTTACATGGAAAACAACAAGCTTCTTGTGCTTTTTTGTGCTGATTTTAAATCAAAGCTACTCACACATCTAATCTTATTGCTATTACTTCAATTTCTCTAAGAATGTTTCCTTTTCGTTTATTTCAACAAACGTAAGGTTGTTCCATATTTCTCTTTCTACAGGCCTGCAGTACTTCCTGAATCATGTAAATGCCAGTCCAATACTTTGTGATTTCTCTCCTCAGTTCTCCTTAAAATACCAACATAGATGGGGAGAGTCAGTAAATTGTCATGTTCAGTAAATAATGCCACTTGCTCCTTCTACTACTGATCCTCAAGACAGATGTCATTTTGCTCACTGATAGTTTTAAAAGCCTTGTGTGGCACTTATTAAATTACATACAATTTTGAGTGGGAAGCTCCAGCCTTTTGGTTGTGGAGGGAGCCAGGTCAGAACTTACCACTATACTTTATTCCTATCTAGAACTACTCTCATAAAGAACGTAAGTTCAGTGTTAGACTAGACTTTAGTAACATACAGGTGCTATACCAGAGACACACTTTTGGGGAGCTGGAAAATTCAGATGACCACTCACTAAACATAAAATCATCATTCCACAAAGATTTTATTCACATTAAACTTGCACAGTAGCAAAAAGAAAAGAAAAGAAAAAAATCAAAACATAAAACTAAGCCACATATCAAAGAACAATATACAATAGAGATTTGAACTTCTTAATGGCATTGGAAGGAATTTCCATAAATAACATTTACAATTCTAGTGTTAGGTCTTTCAAGGTGTCTGAAGCTTCACAGTGCTAGAATTGATTTTTATCAGAACACATGCAAAAATGTGCAACATAATAATCCATATTAATGACACAAAAAAAAGCAGGCCAGTTATTTGTCATTCCATCATGGCCACGCCACTCTATGTTCTAAAAACAAACAAACCCCCAAATCCAGGTCCCATTCATTCTTCAATTCTGCCTTTTGTCACTCTGCTTTATTATATTCAAACAGTCACTGTTAGTGCTCTTCACCACGACTTTCAGGTTGATGTCACTCCCTGCCTGCTGGCTGTCAGGACTGGGGGACGCCCCTCTCCCAGACTCACCTTCTTCCGGATGTCTTCATCATTTGCTCCAAGAGAGGCATAGAGCTTGAATGCAGCCTGGCGGAGTTCATGAGCATGTTTTAAGTCATGATCAAGCTACAAGAGAAAGAAAAGATACATTCTAACTCAGTCCGTAGTTAAATTTTTATCAAAAATAACTGAGTTTGAAGATTAAAAAAACAAGTGTGTTAATGACTATTAACATTAGTGATGTTGTTCAATTCCCTAGGTTTTTTTTTTCCCTAGTTCTATTCACGTGAATGAGACCATGCTGAATTTGTATCAATGGGACCTAAAATGCAGTCTGCTTCTAAGAACAAAAATACAACATTTGACACTGATATATTGAATTCTATTCTATCAATATCTTTAGATTTTCCTAAACATTAACAATAGTGCTGGCCTAATTTCAATATTCAAAAAGCTTTACAAACAGGGAATTCTTTGTGAAAATGCTTAATAAACAACATACCATGGTAATCACTACTATCATAAGTTACCTAAGATTCATATTCAGAGTATATCATTTTTCTTTAAGAAAATTAATTATTTATTGGTATGAAGCAATTAATGCTATCTTAAAATGGCCTAAGTTAACATTTCATTTGTAAAACTGATTTACCAACAAAGTTTCATAAAAACAAAATAGAAACATGTTCTCAGCTACTTCCAATGACTCTGAACCAGTAACTACACAAGGCATATTCTAATTTAAACTAAAAGCCCTAACTTACTCATCTTTTCCTTAGAAAGGTTAATTCTTATCCAATGATGAAGATGTTGTTCAAAACATTCGGAGAGCCTCTTTTGAAATTCACTAAAGAAATAACTAGTTAGAAGACCCTGAAAGGTATAGCTTCATCAACCTAAGAGTTTTAATTTAACTGTCACTGTGGTGTATGGAGATGGATAAATCCAGCTGGATAATACAATTTAGGATAACTACACTAAATAAAAAGTAAAGAATAACAACACATTTGAGGTAGTTCTGTAGGCAGGAATAAAAGTAGTTCCAAAAATGTTTTGATTAACATCAGGCACAGACAGATTATGGGAGGAGCTCTGCAATATACAATACTTATTTTTTGTTCCAAAGTATGTAAAGTATCTATCCTTAAAGTCCTAACTACATTCTAGCCATAGCCTACATATTCTAATGCTGACTTGGATCTAAAATGCCATGAAAATCACACACATTTATTATCATGTGGGAATTTCTTTCTATGGATACTTTTATAGCCAGAAACCTCTGGATAATCTACCACCAAAATGATAAAACAATCTATTATTTAAGTTTGGCACTAGGGGGCCATTTAAAAGATTGTCATTTCAGTTCTACTGTGATGGAAATGAAATGGAAAAACTCTGACAGCAAGGATAATCCTCTACATATTAGTTGAATGAGCTGCACAGTTTATGCTAGAAGTTCTTAAAATTATGTTTCCTCACTCTCAAGCCCAGCAGAGCATTCTCTTTGCATCTCAGGATATTTGTCAGGTATTTATCAGGCTATGATTAGGTCTTGCTTATGTATCTTGGGCTGATGAGATATCGTGTCAGTGTGAACAAATGGCCACAGGGAAACAAGAGGAGGCAACTGGTTCAATGTATCCCATCACCTCTTCTAGGAAAACATGATTATCGAGGAAGAGAACGCCTAGGACATTAAGACAGACAGAAGGTGGTGCAAATTACTAATGAATTATTATCCAAGGTGCTCTTAGGCCCTTCCAAAGACAGAGAAAAGGTATACCCTTAATGCCAAGTGAACTACTGACTACTGAATGGGGTTTTTTGGAACTCAGAGCATGGGGGAAGTTAAGAGAACAGTTAAAATTGGGACCATAGTCACATTCATGAAATCGTACTGGCTACTAATTATGGTCTCTCTACCATGACTTCCTATAATAAACTTCCTCTAGTAGAATCTCTCATGCTTAGGAAAATGGGCATGTCAAACAGGCTGAGAGACAATAGGTCAAAGGAATTCTAATTCCAATTTTAAGGAAAATTACATTTTCAGAAAAAGCATACTTTGGCCCTTGATAGTCCCAAACTAGAGGTTCAATAGTGCTTTAGCTCTCCGTAGGCAGCTGAAAGCACAGTGCAAAACTGAAAAATGAAAAAAGAGAATGGGAAAGGGTGGTAAAAATCAAAGACTGAGGGAAGAATAAAATGCAGACACTCAGTCACCTGTAAAAAAGATCACCCTTGACCTAAAGAACAAGAATATGCCAACAGAGATGACTGCATGACCTTGAATAGAATTAGATGATGTTGGTATGATGTCAATATCTAGCTTAGAAACCCACTATTTAAGGGTTTCAGTTAGGGCCAGGGATGCAATTTTCTTATATCATCCTTATGTGCTTAGTAAAAGTTTCCTGACAATAAACATTAAGCAAATTGGATTAAAAGCATACAAAGCAATATCACCTATGTTACCCAATATAAAAGATTATTTTCTTTTAAAAGGGCTTTGCAAAGCTCTAATGACCAACTGGTTCAAAGTTGTGAGCAATAAGAAAACTTAAAAAAAACTCCTGAGCTGCTAAAAAGGAAAAGAGAACATACCCTTTTAATATCAGTGATAGCACTCACTGAGCTGGGATACTTAAAGTAATCAGCAAGCATGGCAATGAGGTGATCGGTTATGCTAGCGATTCTCTGCAGCTCAACATCTGGCTCAATCAGATAGGCGAGTGTTTCAGCTCCTTCAACTCTCTCCTCCAGTAATCTTTCCTTACTGCACATTCGGACCAAACAAGGCAACGTCTGAAAGGTAGGGACATTATTATTTGCTTTTTGGTAAAGGCAAGCTTGATGAAGAGCATATAGTGATTAACTCAATGGTTTTCATTGGGAGTCATGCTTGTGACCAAGTATTTCCTTCACTGACTTTCAGAGAATAAAAGATTTTTCAAAATGCAAAACCAAACAAAACTGAGTGCAGATTAATCATTTGTGCTGGCACACTACATTCTAAAATGCAACTTATTAGAAACTCTAATTTGCTTTTGTGACGAGACAAACTCTATTAAACAACTTTATCAAGATATTTAAGAACCCTTTACATATCACGCCTGAGGGTTCTGCCCCATGTATGCATTTATTTTACCTAAAAGAAATGCAGCAGTTTAATCAGGAATGACTTTTGCCTTACAAAAAGCATGTAATTCTTTCCTTAGTGAGTAACATGGCTGGAATGGCTTTTATTTTTGCTTTGGGGATTAAGATCCATAACTGTAAAAACAAAATATGGCTATAAAAATTCAGTGATCTTATCTTTCTCAGATTCCACCAGTTCTCCTAAAAATGTAAGTGAATGGCAACAATCGCAATCATTAGGTTTTCCCAAGAACTTTTGGAATAACTGTATTATCAACTAGTTCAATTTTACTTCTGAGGTCCTTCAGAAATCTTGGCACCGGTCTTTAGTAATTTGTCTACCTTAGAATCTCAACAGAAATGTTCTATGTGTTTACTACTCTTAAGGCGTATGCATCCAATTTGATGGATAATGTAGAAGTAGAAATGGAAATGTTATAATGACATGAAGTCTTCCTCAACAGCTACTGTCTACTGTGCTTTACTGTTTTCTATGATCCTATCATATTTTTACCACAGAATTCAGCATTTTATTGTTCACTATTGATTTCATATTTGTCTACTTCTGACTTTACAACTCAAGCCTAGGCTTCTGAGAAGGTGCCATTCTTCTTTTCCCAACATTACTAGTTACTATTTATCTGTACTAAAAAATCACAGTTCATTCTATTTAATGCTTCCAATTACTACATGAAGGTAATGCTACTAAACCTATTTTACCAATGAGAAAGAAAATAAGGGTAAGAGGAAAAAAACAAACAAACAAACAAAAAAAAAAAAAAAACAGTACAGAAAGCCTCAGCACACATAAAAATTAGCTGACTCTCTTCCCAGAAGACTAAAGCAAACATTAATCTTCTTAATGCTCCTTTATCCTTGGGTTCACCTTTTGAATAATGGTAATAAAAGATGTCACATTCATAAAATGACACTCTGTTTATACCTGTTTGTTCTTTATAGCAAATAAGACATGTTACTGTATTTAATATATTGTTATCCTCACAATAACTCTGAGACAAATGAGCAGGAATTATCACCTCCATTTTCATAATTGAGAGTCCGAGGCAACAAAAGAATAAGGGAGATCAAACCAGTCAGTGGTGGAGATGCTAAAACCAGAATTCAGGTCTTAATTAGGACTTTCAGGACTGATCTCTTATGCTATTGATTACTGGCTACCAGAGTGATAGAAAGTCTATATCTATAGGAATGGCAAATTATACTGCAAATTTAATGAAAACCAAGGACTAAAATACATTCCCTGTTTCACCTGAATTTTACCTACTTTTTACAATTTCCATATGCTCTTAATTATCACAAAATAGGCGGGAGGAGTTGTGCCAAGGGAAGAATTACTTCACTGTGATGTTCAAAATTTCTTTAAACCAATTTTTAAAAGCTACATGGCTTCCCACAGAAAAGAAAACATGGCATTTAATATTATTTTCTTATGCACACTACTACAATGATAAATATGTAAAAAGAAACAAATATCAACATTCATATTAACACTTATAGGATCACATAATATTCAAACATTTTTAGAAAGAGTTGGTTAGCTTACTTTTAATACAATACAGTTGTCATCTGTCCGAATCGCTCCAGCTCTACACATGTAAGTTAAACTGGAATAAAATAACAGAAAGTAAGTTTTTGCTTGAGATTTACAATGGTAAAAGAAAAAATTATTTGCCTTTAAGATTTCTTTGAACAAAAAAACACACAAGAAAATAAATACTATCATTTATTTTGAGAGAGAACACTTTGACATTCTTTTATGTGGTTCAATTTAATCATCAAAGAAAACTAACAGATACATACAGTCAGTCAGATATTTAGGAAAAAACCCTACAAAATTGTTTTAAAAATAAACAGCCTAATGAGTGCACATTTTGAAGAAAACTGGGCATGTGTGGGTTCTTTATTATTTTCTCCATACTTTTTACATTTGAAAAATATTCATAAAATATAAGAATAACAAAGTATCTTAGTTTAGATGAAGTTAAGTTGGGATATTACAACTCCAAAAGCAGTAGAAATATCACAGAAGAGGTATTTAAATTATAATACAGCTATCCATCAGAAATGAATTATTTAGAGGTAACCAGCAGTGGTTTTGGGGACTCATCAATGGTTCTATTGAAAATCAATTTATCTTCATAATTATATATGGCTTTGAATAAAAATAAAAAATTAATTTGTATTCCATAGGCAGACACTGAACATTATTTGAGAAACTTATATTAATGAATTTCCTTTTTGAGTTACAGTCCTTTAGTAAGCTGGTGGAGGGAGTATGGATTGAAAACTTTCCATACTTGGCTTTTACAAAACTATAGACAGGACTGCGGTTGTGGCTCAGTGGCAGAGCGCTTGCCTCGAACATGTGAGGCACCGGATTCGATCCTCAGCACTATGTAAAAATAAACAAACAAAATAAAGATATTGTGTCCATGTATAAATAAAATAATATTTTTTAAAAATGCTATAAACAAAAGAGTAAAATTCTTTTCTACTGTAGAAGGCTCAAACTCCTTGTAGCTATTATTACTGAGAGGTTTGTTACCATACTATTTTTTTTAACTATTTACAAGAGAACATTACCTTACTAACAAAGAGGCAAACACTAATTTTGCAGTTAAGACAAAAAGCAAGCAAACAAAGCACAATACAAATAAAATAAAATTCATGATGCATGAATGATTCATTGAGGTAAATCCTGCACAGCAGGTGCTCAACATATCTGCTAATGTACTGATAATTCAACTTCTCTTTCCATATTTCTCTATTTTTGGGGGGGCTTCATGCTTATTGTAATATGGTTAATTTTGATATAATTCTGTATTATTTCAGCTGGCATAAAAGGACTGTAAGTTGAGAATAACAAAGTAATTTTGTATAGCTACTCTTGAATACAAGAGTTCTTATTCTATATACTAATAGTAATAAACTAAGTATAAAAACTTATATCCATTTTAGAAAACGTGAGAAAGCCCAATGACTATCTAATTTCAAGATCCCAAAATAAGATGGCAACTGGAAGTGAGCAAATTAGGTCATTCAAAAATTCTCTAAGATATTGATGAAAGTACTGTCATTGTTTTGACCTTTACCATTTTGCTGATGTGAGCTGCATCTCAATAGGCTTATCCCTCTGTAACATCTTCACAAATATCTGTGGTAACAATTCTCCATCAACCAACACTAGAAATAAAAAAATAAACAAGTATTAATGAAATTCTTTAAATCTACAAAATTGACAAATTGAATCATGTAGGTGCCACTGAAATTTCCAGCCTACCATTTACCAGGGTCATCGATACCTGGGGGTTTTCAAAAGCTAAAACTGAGAAGCATTTCAGTGCTTGCATTCGAACCTATAAAATTAAACAGACAAGAAAATGCATTTATTTTAATTTTTCAAATATTATTTGAATGTCTCAGAACCTCTGAAGAAATAACCATTTAATTCTGCTTAAAGTACTAAAGGAAGCCTTCAGAGAATAAAAGTAACACCTGTCTGAAGAGTACAGTAAAAGTTCAAGTTTGTTATAAAAAGTTAAAATTAACTTTGTAGTAATAAAAAAAAAGGGAAGAAGTAGCAGAAATTAAAAGTGAACAAGACAGATTCCTAATCAAATCTAAAAGAACATTGTACAAAGTATAGTGTTGGTTAAGACAATGGGAATGTAACCAACACATGGGACATTTCTTCTGACTATAAACCAGAGAACTGAAGGGAAGACAAAGAGAAAGAGTACTCTTATAAATGTGTATGGGATGAAAATGGGGCCAAGAGAACAGAAGGAGAGGAAAGAGCGTTACAATAGAAGTTTGAGAAGGACTAATTTCACTTTAAAATACCTAGGAACTGTGCTATTCTTCCTCAAAACCAGGTTACTGGGTTTGATATCAAGAGCTCACTCTCGTTTTACAATATGAAAGGGTTCCTATGAGGGCTGTTAATTTTCACTGTCTCCTTTAGTTTTCACGAGGAGATGTCATCCTCACTTCTGAATCTGAGTCTACACATAACCTTTTTATGAGGTTGGAAGGCACCCACATGACACATAGGTGGAGTGTGAAGAAATGTCCTTCATGCTCTACACCACTAGCACGTCCCCATAGGTGGACCCTAGAAGATGTCACGAAACTCTTAACAATGGAACAAACCTTAGCAAAAGAGTAATGTTACCATTTTGCCCTTCCACAACTGGTAAGTTTTAAAATTTGACATAATAGGCAAGTCTAATGCAGAAAAGACAAGAAATGGAGGAAGAGCTGGGGAATAAATGAAACCAGAGGATAACAAAGAGACAATAAATAGCGACCCAAACAACATTTTATTGATGTGCTCGTGTTGACTGAGTTCAGCTTCCATGTGGCACAGGACAGAGGAAGCAGTTTCGGTAGATATTTCCTTCTCCTGCCTCTGGCTAGTTTCAAGCTACTCCATTCCCCATTCCTATCCTTGTGAGCTCTTCCCCAAGACCAAACCTTGGATGATGTCTAGGGTAGGGAAAACATACCCATTAGCAGGCCCTACCTGAAATAAAGCTAAGAACCAAAATAGCAGACTAGAGTCACTACAAATAGATACAGGACAAAAATGACTGCTTCTTGTTCTGCCATACCCAGCTCTGATGTCTCACAATACCAACAATATCCTAATATTTGCCACAGTTTGCTAACTGGCCAACAACAAATGGCCTAACTTTTAACTCAATGCATGATAATATACTATGAAACTGCTTAGCTATATACAAAAGATAGTAAGGAAAATTTAATTAGTAAGTCTGAAAATTCTTGACTTTTTAACTCAAAATACAAAACAGAACACATTACACATATTGAGATATATGTGAGTAGAGGCTATAAGTTTGAGTTATTCAACTGTGAATTCCATAGTCTTTCCTGAACTAGCCAGCCACTGTTTCTACACATTTTAAAGCAGCATTTCAAGAAGAGCTTTAGCATGGAAGCTGTCCAGGAAAGACCTGAAATACTACTGAACAGGCAAAAAATCAACAGTGACTCATGGCACAACCATAGCCTGGAAAAATTGAGATGCAAGGGCAACATTTTTTCCCCCTATAATGAAAGAACATTCTAGAGGTAACATAATTCCCTAAAACATTTTACTGATAAAATACTACTCCTGATTACAACATCTATCAAAGAAACAATAAAATATGTGGACCTCTTTCTATAAACCAAAAACAAGTTAAAAATCCGGTCACAGTTTTTAACATCTTACTTTGTAGGAGAGTGAGGTTAGTAGGTGAGCAATATTCTGAACTGCACCATGGTTAAATAAAATCGTTTGATGATCTGGACCCTGTAAAAACAGAGAACATAATAATAAATTAAGAAGAGTAGTGATTCATTCCAACAAAATCTCATTTAATAAATGTTGAAAACCACATCCACAATATTACAGATTTCTTAGTTACCCTCTGCTTGTAAACTCAACCCCAAAAAGGAAGGCAGACAGGTTTTATTCCTGCAAGGGGCTGCCACGTCTTACCTCATTCCAGTTTGAGAACTGTTGCTCTCATAACTTCCAGAAATAAGGAAAGGGACAGAGAAGCTGTTCCAGCAGAGGACCTTCACAATGATTACATAGCAATATCACCACAGAGCCACTATGAATTGTATATTTCATGTGTACACCCTCACCCTATGCCCACAAGAGACAAGGGCATGGCCATTCTTACAACTTAGGGCTGAAGAGCTACTCAGGGGAAACTCTAAAACTAATTCCAAGAACCTAATCTACGATAATACATCAGGGAGGTTTTAGCAATGCTATAATGAGAAAAAACACAATACTCCATAATTAAGAAGTGAACATGTTTTGGTTTCTGTTTCTCATTTCTTTTTTGAAAATGATTACTTCTTAGAGTAGGAAGGTGAAGAGAGGAAAAAAGAGGTATTTTGTTTTTCATTCACTGTTTTCTTTTTTTTGGTGGGTAGGAGAGTACCGAGGATTGAACTCAGGGGGAGTCAACCACTGAGCCACATCCTCAGCCCTATTTTGTATTTTATTTAGAGACAGAGTCTCATTGAGTTGCTTAGTGCCTTGCTTTTGCTGAGGTTGGCTTTGAACTTGCGATCCTCCTGTCTCAGCCTCCTGAGCTGCTGGGATTACATACAGGCTTGTGCCAGGCGCCTGGCTTCATCACTTTGTTTTCTATTAAACAATGTACTGAAGATCTTCAAAGGGGAAGAAGCTAAAGGTTAATACAAAGCTTTAATTTTGCTATGACTCTTATTCAATCATTTGCGTCCAATCTCTTCCAACCAATTAATTAAAAGTCAATTAAAGCCAAGGCAGGTATAGTACTGCATGTTTATTCTTATTCAGAAGAGAACATACCACCAAAGGTAGGAAATCTATCTAGGTTCAACAGTCAGTTATTGATCTAGAATAAAAACTCTAGAAATAGTTTCTCTAATCCGTTATTTAGCCAACTAAAAACTATCTTGTAGTCAATTCACTCTTTCTTAGGTCAAAACATACATCATTTGAAGTGGGATTAATAGTCATACTTCTAAATAACACAAGTGCCACGGTAACAATACCCTAAACATTTCATACATTATTAAAAAGGTCCTTAAAAAAAAAGAAACTTCAACAATCTCTCTTAATTTCTATTCATTTTCTAATTTCTTTCTTTTTTTTTTTTTTTTGTGGTGCTGGGAATTAAAGCCAGGGCCTTGTGCATGTGAGGCAAGAACTCTACCAACTGAGATATATCCCCAGCCCTTAATTTCTTATTTTAAATTATTACAGAGTATTTCATAGTTTACACATGCAAATCCCATTCTCAGGGCATAGATTTTAAGTGAGCTCCCTTTCCTCCCACCTCAAGGAGTTATTATAGGTCCTACTTAAGGAGTATGTGCAGTGGACTGGACAATGTTCTAAATGCTTTACTAGCACTCTCTGGATTGAAATAAAAGGGTCTCTGGCTTATTTCATATAAAAATAATGATGAAACTAAGAATATGACAATATGACCCATTATTTTTCTTATCTAGGAACTAGAATCAATTATGAAGGTGAATCTAAATTAGCCCCAGCTTACATGTCAGCATGGTCAAGTTCTATTGGTCTCAGTTTAAACACTGGCAGAGCTTATCAGAATGGCTAAGTATAGACAGGGTGCTTCCTTGACCTTTTGTCCTTCATTGGTCAATGTAGCCAACTGGTTCCTGTGCTTTGCAATGACCTAATTATATTATTTTATATTCTTCTAGACATTTTATAAATATACAAGTATATTCTTTCTCCCATTTTAACACAAATGGTTGAAGACTATATGTACTACTCTAAACCTTTTATTTCCTTTACTAAATATCAGAGATCACTCACATCAGTTTTCTCATTTTATTCATCGCATAAAAGTCTCATACTTTATTCAACTAGTACCCCTTAGTTGGACATTTAGAATATCAGTCTTTCACTATTACAATATCACTTCAAAGTATACCCATGTGCATGTATCTTTTTTCTAAGATCTAAATAATTCTGAAATATCCTTGCTGAAAGAGTTGTATTTACAAATGACAGTGAAAAGATCAAGCATTTACAATTCTCACTCTTCATAATTATTCCCTACTGCTAAGATACCTTACTTTTTAATCCCTCAAATACTTTGCCTCAATTATGGCAACAACTATGTATCATCAAAGGTTTTCCTCCTCTCCAAGACTATGTATAAGATTGGGTAAAAATGATCACAAGGAAGGAATCAGTGGCAGAAACAACTGGAGAGGAGTAGCTATTCTTTGGTTCTTATCAAGTCTCTCTGCAGACAGGAGGTGGTTAACAAGGCAGCATTCACCTGGTTGGATATTAATAAGCCCCTGCAGTTTTAAACTCCAAAAAATAGGACTTAGAAATCTGAGCAAATCTGTTGCTAAGGAAGTAGCAACAATTTATAAGTTACAATTCTAACAAATATTTCTAGCCTTTTTTGATCCTTAATAAATCATGGAAAGAATTCCAAAGATACAATTATAATGAGTTTATATACATAAAAGTTTTCATAGTCTCCCTTTTTCTGTCTCCCCTCCAACTGTACCAATTGATACAATACCAGTCTGTGAAAATTAGTAATGTCTTATCCCATTTACTTGTATCTAACTAGGCCCCTTTGAAAGTATTTATTACAAATTTTGTTATTTTGCATCTAGGTACCAAAAAAAAAAAAAAAAAAAAAACATGAAAATAAGGTTTGTGAAATTAATGATAATACATAGACCATCAAATAAGTTGTTTTCAAAGATATATTGTTAGTGTATTAGGGAGAAAGTTAATATTGTATTTTAACGATTACTATTCTTGCTGGGTTTATAAATAGGGCAATGTTTCTTTAAGTCTAGTTATATCTCAGAATACTTAAATTTGGTAATTTAATTACAGTAGAAAATGATAACTATCAGGTTAAAAAAAAGCTTACTAAAGGTAATCTCTCTGATAACATCTTCTGTTCTATCAGTGGCATCAGGGAGGCTGTAAATTATTATCCTCAAGAGAAGTTTCTGTCTAATAAAAGGTATAGTGATTTAATGGTACTCCTTTATCTATGATTCCAGCTAAGATGGCGCTGGGAAATTTCAGATGAGCAAATCCAAAAGTTTTGAGAAATCTCTATGAGTAGTCCTGAAGGCTAACTGAGTTTTAATTTCAGGAATGGCATTATTCAAACTTCTTAGAATTTAACAAAATAATATGTAGTTATTTTTCCAGGTCCAAATTTCAGTACCCTCTGGAATCACTGTAGTTATGACTAATAGATACCATGCTCTCTTGAGTAGGAATAGATGCTGAAAGGTTGGTAATAAGGCTCTGAATTCTAGAATATCATCCTCTACTCACCTGCCATGGAAGGCAAGACTTTATTTTATTGTTGGAAAATTCTATATCTTGTTGGTTTGAATTCATTTTTAGCAAATGAATTGTAACAAAACTTCATTTTCTTAGAGCATTCCTTTGCCTACCTCAAATGATGAAGGTAGCCAGGCATGGGAGTGCACATACCTGTAATCCTAGCGACTCAGGAGGTAGGAGAATTGCAAGTTTGAGACCAACCTCAGCAACTTAGTGAGGCCTAAGGACTTAAGGAGATCCTATCTCAAAACAAAACATAAAAAAAGGGCTGGGGTGGCTGGGGTTGTGGCTCAGTGGTAGAGCGCTTGCCTCGCACATGAGAGACCTGGGTTCGATCCTCAGCACCAATACAACAGTCACTAATATGGCATTATGTAAAAATGTGAATGTGTAACCGATGTGATTCTGCAATTTGTATTTGGGGTAAAAATGGGAGTTCATAACCCACTTGAATCAAATGTATGAAAGATGATATGTCATGAGCTTTGTAATGTTTTGAACAACCAATAAAAAAAATTTAAAAAAAAGGGGGGGGGGACTGGGCTGGGGATGGGGTTCAATTCCTGGTACAAAACAAACAAAAAGAGGCACTGTTTGATATCCCTGGTTCTATGAGTTAACTTACACATTGTCAAAGGAATCAAGAAGCAAAACATCAAAAATTTTTGACAAAAATCTTAATTTCAAAGTACCTTAAACAGAAGTAAAGAGACTGTGATAATCAGCTAGGGTTTGGGAAGAAGTTTAAATGATTAGATTTTAATGTAGGTATTTTTTCTGGGACCAAATGATCTAATTTTCATTTATTTGGGGGAGATGTTCTAAAACAGCAAAGATTTGTGATCTTTCCACTTTGCAATGTAGGTGTTCATTTCTCTTAGTCCTTCTTACCTCATTTGGTATCTATATTACAAATGATAGGAAGGCAGGTAATGCTATCCTGAAACACAGAATCCTCCCTCAGAAGATAACCAATTATTTGGTGAGAATTAGAAACTGCTTAAAATTAAGAAAACTCTCAAATCATCACCCATGGCTACCAAAACGAGTACACTCAAAATATAATCTATGAAGGAAAATAAGTAGCACTTCATAGTATCCAGCTATTTCGGTTTGGAAGCTACACAGAGAAACTGGAGCTTCTGGAGATGGGACATATGGAGGATCCTACAGGGTGATGTATCTGAAGAGGGTATGAAAGCTCTGAGCTCTTTCTCTCATATCCCACCCTATTCATTTCTTATCTGGCAAGAATAAGGAGGATGGTAATTCAGATATGCCAAAGAGAAGCCATAAAGTGTTTTTTTCTTTTTTAAGTGAAAAGGTAAAAATTCTCCACTTAACACGGAAAGACAACGATCATATGCTAAGGTTGCTAAAATCTATGATGAGGAAACTAATGCTCAGCGATGTCAAATAACATACTCATTGTCCCTCAGTCATCACAAATCAGAACTGGAATTTAAAACTGGGTGTTAATGGCTACAATGTACAAGCTCTTCTAATTATGCGAAATTATCTCTGTTATACTTATTTACCTCAGGATACTTGCATAAATACCTACCTGAATATGACTATAAAAAGGGACGGGGGAGAGAGAGCACACTTAACCATGAACAGACAAGAATCATTCTTATTTCTTATAAGAGATCACTAAAAACTGTTTCTAACAACATGGGAAACTGAGGTTGTAAGGAAACAGACATGATCTCATGCTGCTGGTAGTAATACCAGTACAACCTCCAGACAGGACCTTATGGGCAAAATTACAATTTGTACATATTCTTTGATGCGATTCCATTTCTTATAAAATGTCTTCTACCCAAAATACTTGTTGGAACATTGCTTTGTGCTTAAGACTGGAAACAAACTAAATGCTTAAAAACAGATGACTAATTAAATCAATTATTGTACATTTACATAGTAAAATGCTATGCAGCCTTTTTTTTTTTTTTTTTTTAAAGGAACAGAGAAATTCCTCATGTACTGATATGGAACAGCCTTCAAGATATGTTAAGTGAAAAACGCAAGATGCAAAGCAGTATACACTACATGCTGCCTTTTGTGTTAAAAAAAAAAAAAAAAGGATAAAATATACACATAAAATCCTGAGAGGACATACAAATAAGGCACATCTCTTAAGGGCATGTAAGATTTGACATAACAGAAAGTATTTATTCTGGTTCTTACTTTACAGCAGTGTGAGAAGATCTGACAGATATACTCCTGGGTGTAGCGGGACCTGCTCAGCAGCGCCATGAGGTGTGGTATCACTGTGGCATCCTGGAGTGGATGGGAATGAGAGCACAGCAACAAGGAACTTAGGCACTGTATACACATTTGACAAAGTACTTACATGAGCAGGTACATAGTTTAAGCCTCTTATCCTAATGGCAATAATTCATGTTTCTTTTGAAGGAACAGAGCAAAACAAAAACAACATGGCCATCAAAACAGCTGAGGTCAAGGACAAGGAAAGGGACTTCAATATCCATCCTTGAAAACTATATACATATGAGGACAGGAACCTCTTAACAGCTCTCTCACAAACACCTATATGCTAATAATAAAATAATATCATTACAATAAGACTAATCATTTCTGGAATCAAAATGTGAGGTGATTAATGAGATATAGAGTATAAAGAAGTATTTTGAAAGAATTATAAAATAAAATTTGACCATTTTGATCTCTGAGATATATGGTAAGCATCAGTAACAACTACAATCTCGCATAATGACTGTAGTTGGCTATTTGCAATCTGTACAAGACAATTTATATGATTAGCAATTTTTCAACATAAAACCTACTGCCTATCACCTTCACTAACATTTACATGGTGACACAGGTAAAGAGAAAAATCAAACAACCCCGCTGCAGGTTCTTCAAGTAACTATTTATTTTTAATACAAAAGGAATTACAAACTGAAAGAGAATTTGGCCTTAAACACAGATGGACTTAGCTCAAGTCTCCTAGCCAATGTTGTCACAAGTCCTCAAGCTATGCTTCTCAAGTACAAATGTGCCTGCAAATTCCCAGGGATTGTTCTTCACGTTCAAATTCTGATTTGGACTGGGATCTAAGAGTTTGCATTTTAACTAGCTCCCAAAAGAGGCTGATCAACAGCCCACATTTTGAAGACCCTCACACAGAGGGCATTGAAGAAAAAAATGCCAAGACACATAAAAGCTAAGATAAATAGCAGGCTGTTCATTCCCTAAAATGGAATATTTTCCCCTGCTTGTTAGTATAATCTCTGTGTTGTCAACAGCAATTTAAAAACAAAACACAAAACCTGAAAACCTCAGAGAACGTTAGGTACTAAATGCAGAGAAAGAAAACGAAGAGAGAAAATGGAGTTTCAAATAGAGCAAGGGGAAACAATAGTTCCACTGGCAGGACAGAGGGAAGCAGGAACATCGATAAACAGGATTTCAAACTAGAAATCCTGCCCTCTTCTGACTAGACAGTCGTATTTAGTACTTGAGCTGCTGCAGCAGCTGGGTCTACCTACACTCAAGTACTGCTCTCTGTTGCTTCCCCTCATCCGACACTTTTTACAGATTCCCCACTGACTCTGAAGTATAAAATCTTTTGAGGCATAAAACTGAAATGTTTCATAATTTCCATGATCTCACTGTCTAAATTTAACCTACCTGTATCTTAACTGTTGTCATGTAAAAAAGTTAAGTTGACCTAGACGAGAATTTTCCAAACTGCACCATGATCCATTAGTGGGACATAAATCAGTTCAGAGAGTGAGGAAGGAGTCAAAACAGCTGGCTAGGATTAATTTCTCCCCCTCTTTCCCCAGGGCTGGGGTGGGTGAGAAATTTCTAGAGTAGAGAAGACAGGTCATTGGTTTAATCTCTTTGTAAACATGACAATTTGACACCCAGCAAAACACTGTGACACTTACTACAAAGAGCAGTCCAAAAAGCAGCAGCATTTGAATTACCTGGAAACTTGTAGGCAAGGCAAACCCTCAGGCCCTACCCATCTTATTATTCAGAAACTCTGGAGGTGGGGTCCAGAATCTGTTTAACAAATCCTCTAGGTAATTCTGGAACTCGCTCATGTTTGAGAACTACTGTAGTAAACAATCTAGACTTATGAGGCATAAGTCTCTCAAGAATGTCACATAAACCCTAAGGTATAAAACTGAGATGTTTCATAACTTATACACTTCTTACTTTGTGAAGTGACCCACAAAGCTCACTTGGAGACCTTATGTATCATCGAGGACAGAAGAGTACGTATCTATCTGATGTAGGATGGAGTATGAAGCCCTGTACCATCTCTTTCCATGCTTGTTTTCCCTGTGCCTCTTGTTTATATTCTTGAAATACTTATAAATCTTGAATATGGATAAGATTTCTGATTTCTGTGTATCTGATCAAACAAGTGATTCTTTGTGAACTCTGAGAACCACAAATGGCATTATTTGTTTTTAATGAGAAACAACAAAAGAGAAACCAGAGGACATCAAATTTGTGGAACTGTGTTGTGATAGTTGTCTCAGAATTCCACACACACAAAGTTATACATGTGTATACTGAGGCAGTGAAAAATATATTTTTACTATAGATTGTAGATAGTGCTTCAACAACACTGGCCTAGGTAATTTTCATTAAGAAAGTCCCACCAATAGATTAAAAAGAACCCTTGATAAATCCCTGAGGCTTCTGAAAAACCACTGACTGACTCCAAACATCTTTGGATTCTCTTATGGGTATGCTCTGATTCTGGTCTGTCAGCTAAGCCTCCTGCAAGCTGGTTCTGGTCTCTCTCTCCAGCTGAGACTAACAGCAATGCCCTCTACACATCAGACTGTTCTGCCCAACATACTGCAACTGCTTCACAGAGATCCTTCCCAGCATGGCCTCCTTCCTCTCCAATTTTCTAAATTATCTATTATTCAAGACCCAGGACAAATTATAGCTACTCTACAAAGCCTACTTTCCTGAACTAGAACGTAAAGTGAGAAGAACTCCCTATCACTCAATTAGCATAAAATATATTCCCTTAATATACAAAGAGATAAAAATTGATCTTTTTTATTTTTAACAGTTTGCAAATTCCTCTAGGATCTGAGGCTATCTTCTTGTTTGTCTGTTTTGTGGTGCTGGGGATTGAACCTAAAGCCTTGCTTATTATAGGCAAATGCTCTACCATTGTTCATTTTTAAACAAAGCCTAGAAAATTTAATATTTGAAAATAATCAGGAACTCAAATACTTCTTGAGACTTTTTGTATATCACAGCTATGAGTCTGAAGTGAGAAGCAAATAGCCTTTAGTGAAATATAACCAATGACCCCAAAACATCCCAAACTCACTGTATACAGTAGCTCCTCTGGAGTGACAGGACTGGTGAAGATGGTACGTAGGCATCGGAGACAAGCTTCAATGAACTTCAGGTCTGGGGACAGTAGTCCTATTAACAGAAACTACATGTGAGATTCATCTTCTCAACCAGTACTTAAAACACTGCAAACTCATTCTAATCTTTTCTTGTGTGAAATGTCCTCCCTGCATACCTTGTAGTAAGGCAGGGATAATATGGCAGTCCAGCAGAGACTTGACATTGTTTTCAGTACCCATAGCAAGACTTCCCAATACCACTGCACATTCCGTTTTCAGCTCTGTGCTTGACGTTTCTTGCTGAAGCAAATACAACAATCTAAAAAGAAGGCACTTGATAAACAAAGAGACTAAAAGAACAAAAGTAAATTAAAATATTGTGACAAAGGAATGTGATAAATACATTCTACATACTAAAATTAGAGTTGATTTGGCTTATTTGAATTTCTCTAGGTAATATTTATTTATATTATCTGCTACTTCAACAAAGAAACATCTAAAAAAAAAGAGATTTTCTTCATTTTGAACAACAGGACTATCATAGGATCTCAGAGTTTATCAAACTGTAAATCTGAGAGTTGTGTACAATGGTATCTGCAGAACAAGTGTGATAGTCCATGTTATCTGCTATTCCCTGGTTAGTCTTTTCAAAACATGCTGGATCACAAACTCAAACCAGAAATCCAGAGCTATAGTGTTGAGATGGCACAGGTCTAGCATACAGGGAATAATCTTTGTGCAGTTTTTCAAACAAGGAAAGCTTTCTTCTCTTCAGTTCTCCCATGTGGGGACTGAGGAAATCCTCCAAATTCCACTCTAGCCCAGCTCGCCAAACAGCTAATCCCCAAACTCTAATGCTCTACCACTTAGGATCTTCTCTTTTACATTCTAATTTCATGCTCCCTAAAGCACTATTTAGATATACTGCACACAAACCCTATGAATGGCTGCTGGTCAGTGAGGTCAAACACATTAAAACCATTAATCCTGTATTAAAAAATAAAAATATTTTTCAAAATGTATAACAATTTTTGAGGAAAAAAAAAACCACCTTGGTTCTAAGTAGCAAAAGCATAAAGAAAGTTATATAAATGTCACTGCCTGCCTAAAAGAAACATCTAGGTCGTCAGAAAAATCTAACTTCCTATGATAACTCAAGAAACAACAAATTCTCAAAATCAGATTTTTTTTTTTAAAGCAGGATTAAAAATCACACAGAGACAATTCTTACATAGATAGAGTCATCTGATTCTTGACAAAGCTGCTAAAAACATGTTACAGAAAAGACAGCCTTTTAAATAAATGGTGCTGGGAAAACTGGATATTCTTATGTAGAAGAATGAAACTGGATCTCTATCTTTCACCCTGTACAAAAGTCAACTCAGGGATCAAAGACTTAGGAATTAGACTCTGGTCTGAAACTGCTAGAAGAAAACAGGGTCAACACTATGATATAAAGGCACAGGCATCAACTTCCTCAATAAGATACTAAAGCTCAAGAAATAATACCAAGAATAAGTGTGTGGCATCAAGTTAAAAAGCTTCTGCAGAGCAAAAGAAACAATTAAGAAGGGAGAACCTATAGAATGAAAGAAAATCTTTGCCAGCTACTCTTCCAACAGATAATTAATATCCAATATATAAAGAACTAAAAAAAAAACCTCCAAAAGGAAAAAAAATCCAATAACTCAATCAATAAATCGGCAAATGAATAAATGGACATTTCTCAAAAGAAGAAATATAAATGGCTAACAAATGTATGAAAAAAATGTTCAACCTCTTTAGCAATCAGGAAAATGCATATCAAAACTTCACTGAGATTTTATCTCACTCCAGTTAGAATAAAAATAATAATAAATGCTGGCAAGGATAAGAATTGAAAATGGTACACTTATACGTTATTGATGGGACTGTAAATCAATATAATCAAAAGACTAGGAATGGAACCACCATATGACCTGGCTATCTCACTCCTTGATATTTATCCAAAAGTACTAAAATCAGTTTACTATAGGGATACATGCATACCAATGTTTATAGCAGCACAATTCACAATAACCAAGTTATGAAAACAGCCTAGGTGTTCATCAATTAGACTAATAGATAAAGAAAATGTAGTATGTACACACAATGGAGTTTTACTCAGTCATGAGAATGAAATTATGTCATTTACTGGTAAATGGATAGATGGGAACTGTGGAACACCATGCTAAGTAGAATAAGCCAGATCAGAATGTTGAAGGTTGAATGTTTTCTCTCATATGTGGAAGATGGGGGGAGTTCCATAATAAAAAAAAAAAGGGGGATCTCAAGAAAATAAAAGGGAGACCAACAATGTAGAGGAAGAGGCTAGAGAAGAAGGGAGGAGAAGAGGGTGTGGGGAAGTACTGAGGAACAAAATCTACTAAATAATGCTATGCCATATATGAATATACCACAATGAATTCCATTTATATATACTATAATAATGTGCTAATTGAAACAACAATAATAGAAGGAGATTAGCAGAGTGGGGCAAGCTGGAATAAGGCTGGAGAGGAAGGAAAGGGAAGGTACTGGGGAATGAGACTGATCAAATTAATGTTATGTGCATGTATATTATATATAATGCACCAACAAAAAAATTAATTAAAAAAAACCAAGGAGAGTTTTTTCCCCCTTTGTTTAAATTCAAAAATGTCTTGAAAATTCTAATAAATTATCTACTCACACAAAAACTTTGAGGACTCTAAGGAGATGGAAAAGAAATTATCAGGCAGGTATACAGTCCTATGGATCCATCCAACAAATTCTTACACTGCAAGGTTAATGATCTTTCTGAATTTCCAAAGAGTATTAATATATTAACTTCTTATTCCATTCTCTGGAGATGGTTCTTAGAGATGGTTTACATATGTCAAGGCATTCATTTTTTAAAAAAATAGACAATACAGAAAAAAGGGGTCTTTTCCCTAAGAGTAAGAAATACATTAAGAATGTATTCAGCATGAATGGCAGAAAGGGCACAGACAGCCAACATACCTTGGAACAGCTCCTAAAACAATGAGGTTGGCTTTCTGCTTGTTGTTTCCAATTACAGCATTTTTCATGTCTCTGAATTCAGGGGAAGAGAAAAAGGTATGAAGTATGTTGAGATATCACAGAGAAACATAAACATCAAAGATTAATTCATTGCACTTTATCATGCAACAAGTTGGGCTGGCAAGTACAGAAATCAGTGACAAAGTCAAAGCATTGACCCTTTTTCACTAAAGAAAAGGGACTGAGAGGTGCTAAGTGACCATGGGAACTATAAAACAGAAGAGTAGTGTGGAAAGTGGGAGATACTCTGCATACTGGCTAAGACCTCCAATACAAGCAGAGTTGGGTTCTTCTAAAAAAGGCCCCAGTCCTTTGCCCATAAAGGAATACAGGACACCTTCAGCATATATGGCTTGGGGTCCCATTTTATTGGTTTTCTAGTGGCCATTTTAGAATTTCCAATTCATCAATTTATCATAATCTTAAAGTGGTATTTTGCACTTGTTTTAAGAGCCTTGCAAGTGTACTTCCATTTCCTGTTCTTTCCGCTACTGGTATAACATACTTTACTTTCAAATTGGACAGAAACAACATAGTACATTGTTACTATTTTGCTTAACCAGCCAACTGTCTTGTAAGATTAAAATATTTTAAGAACCACTGTAATATTTCTTAAACATATTCACCAGTATTTTTTGGTTTAGATACAAAGAACTCTTTATTTACTTCCCCACAAGTAAAACTCTATTTCATAATAAGAGGACTTCTATCAATTAGCTCACAAATTGATGATTGGTTCCAAAGGACATGTTGAGAAAAAATGTACAGCTCAAAACAAACCCAGAACTACTAATGTTTTAAAAATACTTCCCTGATTGGACAGCACTGCTATCTTAATATACAGCAGGAGTTCTCAAAGTGGGCAGGGAGGCATTATCGCCCCCAACCAGTTTTTAGAAGTGTACAAGAAAGGGAGGAAATGGTTTTAGAAACAGATAAAAAGCATCTTTGCGTAGTTTAAAAGAAAACTGAATTTTTCAGTATTGTGCTTCTCCTGACAAAAAAAGAAAGATGTGCTTTTTATCACTATGGAAAAATCAGATCACCAGTTCAGTGGCATTTGTATCAGTCAATACCACATATCCATAATCAGTCTACATTGTGGTTCTTGCATCCATATTATCTCCTACTGCAGTTAGACCAAAGCATTTACATATCGCAACATTATAAATTATATCTTTCTTTTCTCTTTTTATATTGTAAGCAGATGAGGCATTATACTATTTTGGAATTATGTATGTAAGCAGGTTATATACCTGTGAACTTAATTTCAAGAGCGAACAAGAGGCATTATAAAATATTTCTAATAAGGGGCTAGGGTTGTGGCTTAGCGGTAGAGCGCTTGCCTCGCACATGTGAGACTCTCAGTTTGATCCTCAGCACCACATGAAAATAAATAAGTGAAATAAAGGTATCATGTCCAACTACAGCTAAAAAATAAATATTTTAAAAAATATTTCTAATACAGGGAAGTTAGGTGTGCAAATATTAAGATCATTGGTAGCATTGAAGTTTTTAGCTCAACCATTTCTTTTACATCCCAATAAGCTCCTAAACACTGATTCAACATCTCTTTTCACTTTTCCTCTTCTGGCTAGTAGAGCTCTATAATATGTAGAAATTTTCTGACAACCTTAAAAGTTACAATCTCAAGAAGTTGTACTGTTAGCAAAACATAAATCTTGTAGAAAACCTGAGGGGAAAAGTTACTTTAAAAAAATAAATACATATTTACAACACCAGATATATTCACTGGCATGTAAAACTCTGGTGATGGGCTGGGAATACAGCCCAGGTGGAACACCTGTCTAGCATGTGCAAGGCCCTGATTCAATCCCCAGCAAGGTGGGGTGGTGGTGGTGGTGGTAACGATCCTTCTTTACATTTACCTTCTTCAATTACTATAGAAAAATACTGCTATGACAAGGGAGGTGCTGAAAGTAGATTCTCCCCACAAGTTTCTGAACAGCACTTTTACAAGCCTTGAGCCAAACACTGAAATTACTTGTTCTTTTCTTCCATGAGCTCAGTACCTGCACATAGGTCTTACACAGCCTGAGATATCCCTCTCTGTAAACTATCCCTCAGGTTTCTATATGGTTTACAAGAGATATATAACAATAATTTTTTATTTTGTTACTAAACCAAATGAAGTTTATTGAAGTTTTTACCAAGTTCTGACATATGATTATAGAATGGTAAAATATCAAAGCCTCAGTTCAGTTAGTAAATTGTAGTTTGGGAAAGGTTTTACGTCCAGGCTCCTGCCTCCTTGTGGATGCCTCTGTTTCCTTCTTACAGGCTTAGTTTCAATTCATCAGCTTATAGCTCTGCAGCTATTCATTTACTTTTGTCATTTTCCCTTCTCTACTGTGTTCAGCTTTCACTAAATGCAGCGCATTCATCTATCTAGATAAGAGTCTACTTTGTGCCAGGTGCCATTCTGGGTATCCTATTACAGAACTCCCCATCTTAATATTTTCCCAGTTTCCTCTCCATTCTTCCAAAACTAAGCAGAAATGAGGTATTTGTCTCCATATTACCTATGAGCCCATTTCAAACATTGGTAACTGTGCTAAAGTAAATGTTTTTATAGACAAAGCAAACAAAAACCACTCCAAAAACAATTTTCCAGTTCTCCTAATTTACAAAAAAAAAAAAAAAAAAAAAAAGACATGAAGAGGCAGCCAGTGGTTACAGACTAAATGCAAGCTGAAGAGAACACTTATTAATAAAAATGAAGTAATGTCTAAGGAAAAAAGAATTGTTTTGGCTCTGATAAGAAAATATATCTATGCTAATTGGCAGGGGTGGGGGATTTTCATGCCCAGCAAATAAATTCTATTCAGTTATTATTATAAAGGGATGCTAGTAGGTCACTTCTATGAAAGGGATAAAACCGAAAGAGACAATAATCACCATATTTCCCCCTCTTTGGCAGATCTAAGTACAATGTAGTCTCTCTCTCTCTCTCTCACTCTCTCAACATTTCTTATCCCCTTCCTCATATGGTCCCTTGGCTAATTTTATTCATTCTTCCAGTCTGAACTTAGGTGTCAATGTCACTTCCTCTAGGAAGCATGACCTGGGACCTCAAGGTCTGGGCTAGGTGTCCCTCCATCAAAATAAACTTATCACTTGTTAGAATAGAAATCTATTCATCTTTAGCAGCATTAAAGTAAATCTGGTCTGGAAATATCAGAGAAGTTACTATCAAGGGATCATTAATTATAGTGATTTGAGAAAATGTACTACATAGAAATATGTACTTTTTTTCTTTTTGCCACACTGTGGGGATTGAACTCAGGGCCTCACCAATGACAATGAGCTACATCCCCAGCCCAGAAATACATACTTTTTAAAAAATGCAAACGCAGTTAACAACCAAGATGGGAATACAACAAAACTATGTAAAATCTATATATTACTTAAAGCTTATAAAATATGCCATAACCACTACATTATTTCACCTTCATTACATCTTGCATAATATTAACCCCATTTTACAAATGAGGAAGTTATAACTCATGCTTGGAGATTTTTTTCAGAACTCCATATTAAATGACAGAGTCTCAACCAATGTCTTTTAAGCCAAATGAGTTTTGCCTTACCTCCATTCCAGCACATTAGGCATTTATAACAAACTGATGGAAAATAAAAATGAATTTGATAAATTCAGTTCCTTTTTCACTTTTTACATTGTTATACAAAATAAAAGTATCTCTAAGTTTTACTCAGACATCCTTTTCCCAGAGATCAATGGAATATAACCTTCTGCCTATCAACTTTAAATGTGGGACAGTGATGCCCTACTTATATTCTACTGAAACTCAACTATTAGTTTTTGAGCAGAGTACTATAGTGGGCTATTTGAAGGACCCAAAACCATCACACAAGGAGATGCCTGTTCTGAAGAGTTTAAGATCTCTTTAGAAAGATAAAAATAACATTAACAATGTAAGGCAGTGTTATGCTATAAACTCAGTGTTTATATGGACAGGAAAATTTGATGGTTAACATATCATTGAGGCTATGGTAGGAACTAAGACAATCCTTAAAAAACGGTCAGGACTTGGATAAGTGGATGGGGAGGGCGAAATGAAAAGCCTTCACAGATGATCATATCAGAAAGGAATATAGCTTGTTTCTGGGGTGAGACAAGAACTGAAAAGAAAGTTAATTTCAGGGTAGCATGAAACAAAGCTAGAAAAGTAACAGGGAGAAAGGACAAACTAAAGGGAGATGGATTAAGGAGCAATTATGGTTTTGAACACAGAAGTGGCATGAAGGAAGCAGTGCCTAAGTAAGATAAGCTGAATGTGGAATGTATTGGCATGCTGATAAGACTAGAGTCAACGGGGACCTAAATGGCTGATGCTTCCCCTTTATGGTTCCAAGGAGGCTGTGCTTTGTTATCATCTTAGTATTCACCAAACTATATGTGGATTGCCTCTTTAGTTATTTGACTTCTTCATTAGACCTTTAAATTCTCTAGGCCAGTGACTACATTATTCATTCTTAAACACCCCTATACTAGCACAATGCATGGCACTTAATAAATGTTAAAAGAATTAACCAAACCCCCTGGTGATCTGATTATGTGAGAATAATTAGGATAACAGCCACTGGAATCATTAAAACAAAGGACATTTTGAGGAAGAAGTTAATGAGATGATTCAATAGGTACAGGAAATTTTTTGTGGCATATCTTGAATGACTAATTCATGTCTGGACACAGAAAACATTAGGAAGCTTAAAGATAAGCATCTATCCTGACTTGAAACACACTGAATTATTTTGAGGTGAGATAAGAATATCCAGGTAGAAAGGCAAAAAAAAAAAAAAAAAAAAAAAGTAAGCCTTGAGGATATCCCACTTCCAGGGGATGAAAGAAAACAATATTAAGATGTTCTAAACATGCATTTGTCAAGTAACAATTTCAGCTAAAATCTAGACAAAATCTTAAATTTGCAAACTAATAAATGGACATATGAGGCACCCACTTTCACATGTAGGTTAAACTTTGTACTTCATTTCCTTTCTTTGCTCTGAAAGAGATCAATTAGGAAAAAAAAAGTCTCAAATATTAAAACACACACAATGCCTACTGCAATTATGTCTAAATTAGAAGATCATAAAGGTAATCAATACTAAGAGAAAATAAACACTAAACTATGCCATTAAAATAGTAGCAAAAGCTAACAAAAGAATTGGAATCTCCTAGAGAAACAAAATTTCAGTCAATAAGCATCTTTTGCTCTGAAAGAAATTAGAGAAAAAAGACTCAAATATTAAAACATACACTGTAAAACATACCACTGTTACTTCTAAATTAGAGGATCGTAAAGGCAATCAATAGTGAGAGAAAGTAAACACTAACTATGCCATTAAAATAATAGCAAAAGCTAAAGAAAAAATTTGAATGTCCTTGAGAAACAAAGTTTCAGTCAATCAGGTATAAGCGCATTTGCTTCTAAACAGTCAAAAATAGCATAAATTTTAACTGAAAACCTATTATCTTCTAAAAACAAAAATTATCTATCTTTAAAAAAGTATTGAAGGTTGAAGCCCCGAGCTAAAGATCAATATTATTTTCATTTTGAACCAGTATTACTTTTCACTTACCTGAAGCAGCTCTTATTTAGAACACAACTCTTTAATCATGTTAAGTCTAATCAATATAAAGTAACCAAACATTATAGTAGATACTATAAAAACTACAATCTGATAAGGTTTGACCTACTTATGAACACTCACTGTTCATAAGACATTCACCCATAAAATAGGGGGGAAACCATATTTATAAGTAGCTAAGAATAAGGTAACAAGGTAAACAACCAATAAAAATTATTTGAAGTTTGAAAATTATAAAAGTACTCATTTTCTGCCTTAACAATTATTATAAAGCTGTTTTTGGAAAACGCAGTATTAAAAACACCCAGTACAATTAGCTTTCCGTTACCAGGCCTGTTTGGGTATTCCAAACTAACAACTGGCCATATGTAAATTGCCAATTTAAAAAGAGTTTCATAATGATGATCTATTATTCAAACTAAAGTTATTTTTACAAAAAGCTTTAAAAGGGAGCAAACTTTTTTCAGAAAACTTTAGCTCAAGTTAACTTAGGTACTTATTGTATATCTACTAGATATATAAACCAAAAAGACCTGAGAATTGACAGCAAATTTAGTTTCATACTTTTTTTTATAATGGGGATATTGAACTCAGGAGCACTCAACAACTGAGCCACATCCCCAGACCCTTTTTTTGTTTTGTTTTTATTTAGAGACAGGGTCTCACTGAGTTGCTTAGGGCCTCACTAAATTGCTGAGGATGGCTTTGAACTCGCAATCCTCTTGCCTAGCCTCCCAAGCCACTGGGATTATAGGCGTGCATCACTGCGCCCAGCTCATTCTTACAAATTTATTCTGTGATGCAAATTTTTGGAATACATGTAGTTTCAGATATAGTTCTGATTTGTATAAAACCATCAAAAAATTATTGTAAATATTTAATCTTCCTTCTACCGCATTTTAATGGCTCCTTAATAACAAGTGAATGCATAAATTTTAAAACTAAATACTAGCTCAGAAAGTAGGATATTTATTGTATTTAATTTTTTATCAATATATGAATATAAATCACATTCTCCAAAAATGAAGAGTACAATTTAAAATAAGTGCATTAGTAATGCCCAAATATTTTTGTAGAATAATTAAACATGATCATTCAAAAGACACATAAAAATGTATTAAACATTATAGAAAAAATGTGGCAGCAAATAGGCAATCTATATATATGAAAATATATATACACATAGGCATACAAATATACAGCTATTCTTGATGTTCAAAGTTAATATTACACACATACAAACAGCTTATATGTATGCAGGACTCCCAATGTTATCTAACAAAATCTGAAAATCCTGCCACCCTTTTAACCATAATTCTGACTAAATTCTGTTTCAGAATACATAGTTTTAAACAACTAAGACTCAAGATTACTCTATTACATCTGATATTAGCACTGTCTTTGTAGACATTCATTTGTGTATGTGTGCGTGAGTACTGGAGATTGAACCCAGGGGTACTTTACAACTGAGCTACAACCCCAGTTCTTTTTTTTATTTTTGAGACAAGGACTCACTAAATTGCCCAGGCTGCCCTCAAACATGCAATCCTAGTACCTAAGACTCTCAAGTTGCTGGGATTATAGGCGTGTGCCACCATGCCTGGCTACTCAAAACACTTTTTAAAATTACAGATTAAATGTATTAGGTGATAAGCTTTTTAAAGGCATTTCTTTTTTAGGATATTTAGAATTATTCTAAAACTTAACCCTTAGTTCTCAAAACCCTAATGTTTCATTTTATAGAAATTTATCTTTAGCTCATGTAAGAAAATGGAATCTGTCTATACTGAAATCAGAGTTAGATCATTTCTGGGACCAGTAAATTGAACCAGAAAAATCATTATCAAAATAAACTCATTTCATCAATACAGTAAAATACTTAATAAGACACTTTAGAAATGGATTCTTGGTTTAAAACACACACACACACACACACACACACACACACACAACTTTAAACCATCTGCAACTGTCGGTATATTAAATCAGAAGAGTCTAGTTGATTCTATTCAACTTTGAAAGGACAAGTCCAGTCACATTTGCTTCTATCAGTTTTTTGCCTTTTATCACAGGGATATCAACACAGGGCCACGAAGGAATATCTGCCAATCTTTTCATTATGAATCAGTAAAGTAAGAACCAGATCAAGAGCTCTAGTTTAGATATGTTTTAAAAGACACATATACTACACAGTATTTAAGTAACTTAGACTCGAGCTACAAAAGCACTTGAAAAGCTATTGTCTTCAACTATAAGATTTAACATGATTGAACCAATACCATAATAACCTCACTAAAAATTGCCCTGCAATTGTTTCTTAAAATTACATGCAGATCTCCACATGAGAGGAAGCCCAGAATCTGCAATGCAGGGTAGTTCATCCAATATAGATACATATTCTTTCATGTAGTTACAAAGGCTATATAGTTCATGACTTACACCAGGGACCTCCCTTTTCTCTCTATTCATATCTTATACCATGTCTAATAATCTATTCAGTTATGCATATGATATTTTGCTCTTGTAGAGAAAAGAACACGTGCTCACTTCAGCAGCACATATACTAAAATTGGAATGATATAGAGAAGATTAGTATGGCCCCTCTGCAAGGAAGACATGTAAATTCATGAAGTACTCCATTAAAAAATAGAGAAAAAGACCTGATTTTGTATTCAAGCCTTTGATACAGTAAGATCATTTAAATTTATTTTAAATATTATACCAAAAAAAAATGTTACATTTTGATAACTCCCACTCTTCAACAACTGAAAAACAACCAGTTCTGATGCTGAATATTATTTTTCACTGATTGGGTAAAACACTCCTGGGTGATATGGGTTATCTACAAAAATGTTCCCTATGTTTACGGGTGGAGCTATGGCTCTAACTCAGTAGAGTAGATTATAAACTGATGAAAACTGATGACTTACCTTCAATTTCCTCTATTTTGTTTTTTCTGTTAGTATGTTTTAGATGTTTTCAATCTTTATTGACAAAAATCAAATCAAATGTAGCTAGAAAATGATAAAACTGTAGTTGTTTTATAGACAAAGCTGTAATTCTTGTCAAATTTTATGTCCCTCCAATTGGATATTTTGGATTTAAATAAGATTACCTCAGCCTCTCTTTTTCTTGCCTAAAATTAACATAGTACCTTACTTGTTTACACTCTGTGGCCATCTTTTTTACCTACCTACCTATTTTGGTCTAGTAATGGTCTCTGTGTGACTCAATAGTTGTATAAGACACACAAAAAGGGAAAAAAATTGGTCAACTTTCTTTTCCTAAGTATCATTTTGGTTCCCTTTCACACTATCAATATTGTATTAAATAAATAAAATGTTTAAAATATAATTTATTTTTCATTCTAAAATTAATTTTCAGATAATGTTGTAACTCAAGAAAGAATTAAGTCATAAAGAATAAGTATTTCTACCTAGAAAAAAGGAAGCTTTGTAAAATCATATCAAATAAACCTCCATAAGGCCAGCTCTACTCTGACATAAGGGGAAAAAATGCTGGGTAATCTATTCTTTTCAAACTATAAACAGATGTTAGTATTATAAGTAGCAATCACATTTACCAGGATGTGTTATGGTTTGTATTCTCTTGTCTAAGTCAAGAATTCTAGTCCCACTTCCTCTTTTTTTTCAAATTGCTTTATGTTTGATTCTTTAATTTGAACTCTCCTTTTAATTCTGTGCAGAGAATCATCTTATTTTTGAAGTTATTTTATCTTGGAGCTAATAACAACTAACTACTTAAGTGCCAGCTGGTGGGTATCCACAACACACCAGGCACTGAATTTTTTATTTCTGACTTAATTCTCACAAACAGCTGGCAAAACAATGCTTTACAGATGATGAAATGAAGGGTCAAAGAAATTAAGTAATTTGCCCAATCACACAGCTAGGAAGGAACCCCACCAGGAAATGTCATAACCCACTTTTGTCCAACACCAAAGTCCCTGCTCTTTCCACTCTACCATCCCACATGAACAGCCTTTCTTTGTCTGTCTAGCTGGCAGCTAATTGTGTTTGAAACTTCATAATTGTTCAAGAGGCAGTAAGGCTATCAAACCACACTTTAGTTGCTTTGTTATAATTCAATCTTTCTCAATGTTCTTTAGTCTCTTATTTCATATCTTATCAACTTTTAAAAAGTTATAGTATTCTTTGGTAAATTAAAAATTTCTCAAAGTGACAAGCTACTCATATCAGATACAACTCAGTATACATACTTATCGTGAAAAATCTTTGATTAATAACTAGCTTCCTCCTAAACAACTGTAGCAGCATTAGTACATCATCTTCTAATCTTAAATGAGTCTTATGTTTTCGATATTTTAACTATTGATAGTTATTTCGGACTGTCAATATATAGAGCTGTCTGGCTGCATGTGGAGAATGCTTGTCTGGTCTCAGGAGAAATGTCAAATTAAACCTATCCCCTCAACTAATTTGTGCATGTAAGTATAATCCAAACTGATTTGATTAATAGAAGGATTTAATACCACTTCTCCTGGTAATAATCAAACTAGTTTTTAAAAGAGCAGACTTAATCATCACAAAGTGTCCTAGTTAAGGGGACAAAGACAAACACTACCACAATGAGAAAACAAGAAATATATCTATTATTGTTTCTGTAAACAGAAGATGTAAAGGTAAAGTGTCAATTATCTTAGGTGGGTCCCAGGCAGCTCCAGCTCAGTTTGAAGAGCAATATACACTTCTTTTGCCTCCTTTTACAAATTCACATCTCCCAAACATCCCTCCATATTGTCTTTTGGGGCAGTGGGAGCTTTGAAAACAAATTCCAGTCAGAAGAAACTTCTACAAATAAGGCATCCTAGCCTTGTATGGCTGAGAAAGAGTTACACTTAAGGTACTATTGGGCTGACACCAACAACAGGGTAAGAGAAGAAAAAAGGCATTTGTGCCCTCACTGCTACCACTAATGTACCTCATCTTTACCATTTTTTGTATCCTTCTTTCGTCGAACACAGTTCAGGCCTGTGGGTCCTGGGTGTTTCTAATCCTGTGAGGAGCCTTAGGTTAGAACTTTTTCCTTAAAACTAATGTGTTAGGAGCATACTGTGTTAAACATCAAAAGGAGAGAAAATTCACCTTTCAGTCACTTGAAATTTTACCCGATTTGTCCCATTTCATTTTTTAAAAATAATCACCTCCAGGATACTGCTTAAAAATGCTTCTTTTCATTAAACATGATGAAATTTTGGAGGAAAAAAAAGGGCATTAAGCTTATCAAGAGTTTCAATTTTCTGATGATTGTTTAGTTCGAAATTCTGATATATAAAACATCACTGGGAAACTCAGTGGCAGTTGGTGAGTTAACCAAAAAACAAAGCACAACAAAACCTACTAACCTATTCTCCCACTGCATTCTAATTACAAAAGATTAATTTTATTCTCTGGCTTCTGTGGATATTAAAGTAGCAAAAGTATTCTCCAGAGGAAAATTTTTAAATTTAAAACAATAATTCTACAAAAAATAAAGATAATTATGTCAGTTAATAGCTATCCAACAGACAATTATTTATAGTAAAATGTTAAAAGTCATGAATGTCAAGCAGTCTTTTCAAAAAGAAGCCAAATGGAAGGAAAATTGCATTTTCATAATTATAAAATTTGGCAGATTAAAACATGAAAACAAACAAGACTTTTTGATAGACTCTTAAATGCATACTACTTACATGACACCTTGTAGAACTTTCTGGGGATCAGGGTCAAATAGCCTGTCAACATAGTGGCGACTGCTAGCTGTTACTTCCTAGAAAGTAGGGGAAAAATTATGACATCTGAAGCCATGCAAATCACAAATTCATAGCATCACCCACAACATCAAATAGCTACTTATAATCTAACCTAAGGAAGATGAAGCAAGATTCCTCTAAGTATTATTTGCTTCCTTACTATGTGGGACACTTAAGCAGGTGACTTTTCTCTCAGGTATCAAAATAAATGGAAACTGCAGTGTTCGGTTCAAAATGCCAAAGATCTTTTTCTGTTTTTCCCCTAAAGAACACTCAATTTCAGTAATGCAAATTAAAACTACTCTAAGATACCATCTCACTCCAGTAAGAATGGCAGCCATTATGAAGACAAACAACAACAAGTGCTGGCGAGGATGCGGAGGGAAAAGGTACACTCATACACTGCTGGTGGGACTGAAAATTGGTGCAGCCAATATGGAAAGCAGTATGGAGATTCCTTGGAAAGCTGGGAATGGAACCACCATTTGACCCAGCTATTATCCAAAGGACCTAAAAACAGCATACTATAAGGACGCAGCCACATCAATGTTTATAGCAGTACAATTCACAATAGCTAAACTGTGAAGCCAACCTAGATGACCTTCAGTGGATGAATGGATTTAAAAAAATGTGGCATTTAAACACAATGGAGGGTGGCTGGGGATGTGGCTCAAGTGGTAGCACGCTCGCCTGGCATGCGTGCGGCCTGGGTTCGATCCTCAGCACCACATACAAAACAAAGATGTTGTCCGCCGAAAACTAAAAAATAAATATTAAAAAATTCTCTCTCTCTCTCAAAAAAAAAATTTTTTTTAATAAATAAATAAACACAATGGAGGGCTGGGGATGTGGCTCAAGCGGTAGCGCGCTCGCCTGGCATGCGTGCGGCACGGGTTAGATCCTCAGCACCACATACAAAACAAAGATGTTGTGTCCGCCGATAACTAAAAAATAAATATTAAAAAATAATAATAATAAAAAATAAATACAATGGAATATTACTCAGCACTAAAAAAGAATAAGATAATGGCATTTGCAGGGAAATGGATGGCATTAGAGCAGATTATGCTAAGTGAAGTTAGCCAATCCCCAAAAAACAAGTGCCGAATGTCTTCTCTGATATAAGGGGGGGTGACTCAAAATGGGGTAGGGAGGGAGAGCATGGAAGGAAGATTACCTCTAGATAGGGAATAGGGGTGGGAGGGAAAGGGAGAGAGGAGAATAGCATGGATGGTGGAAAGAGACCATTATCATACAAAATACATGTATGAAGATGTGAATTTGGTGTCTACATACCTTATATACAGAGATATGATAAACTGTGGTATAAAGGTGTATTAAGAATCGCAATGCAAAATAAATAAATTATAAAAAATGTAGATATGAAGAGAAATGCAAAAAAATCATAATGCAAAATAATAATAATAATAATAATAATAAAATAATAATAGAGCTCATGTATAATGGCAAAAAAAGAACACTCAATTTCAAAAATAAGAAAATCAATGAGGGCTGGGGATGTGGCTCAAGCGGTAGCGCACTTGCCTGGCATGCGCGGGGCGCTGGGTTCGATCCTCAGCACCACATAAAAATAAAATGAAGATGTTATGTCCACCGAAAACTAAAAAATAAATATTAAAAAAAATTCTCTCTCTCTCTCTCTCAAAAAAAAAAAAAATGACAAAAAAAAGAAAATCAATGAAAAACTACAAATTTTGAAAATGAAACTGGCAGAAGAGTTTGGGAAATCAACATAATTTATAGAGTATACAATAACTTGGTTCATTTTAAAGTTAGAATTAGAGAGGAAATAGTAAATATATTTTGTAAATACTTTACTAATTATTCTGAGAAAAAAAATGTGACAATACCATAAATAATAAATTGAAGAAGAAAGAAGACATCCAGTCCTCACTAAAAACAACTGTGGGAAGGAAGTCCTGCAAACTGTCAATAAAGCAACTGGGCATTTGTGCTATGAAATCAGCTAAGTTTCTTCATTAACTGTTGGATGTCACATATGTGAGCAATAGATAGGAATGTACTTCTGTTCAGTACACAATTAAGGAGATAATATTTGGCTATGGGCCAAGAAAAGGGTGCAGACTTCACAGTCATCAAGCAGATACAAGTGGAAGTCCCTTAAGACAGTCACAGAGGGGCTTCAATGCAAGGAGGCAGATGTAAGCAAAAACAGTGACTACAATAATGAAGTTGACATACCTTCTTTGAAGGAAACAGTTCAGAAGCAGGGTGATCTATGGGTCCAACAGAGCAATCTATCTGAACTGGGTAAAGCTGGGTAAGCGTGGAAAGTTAAGAATATAAAGAATAAAGGACAGACACTTACCTCATTTTACTTGTATGTGGGGTTTGCTCTACTATACTATTTCTTGAATATCTATTTTGGTCAGTAATACCTTTTTATATTAATTTGCAATACTTAACATTATTTAAAATGAAGAGTAACTAGTAAAACAAATTTAAAAAATAAATAAAATTAAGAATAAGGGAAAGAAGATTTTTGTCCCTTTGCGCTCTCTGATTCCTGCTAGAATATACTTACACACTGCCACCACCCATTAGCAATGAATTATCATAGGAAGAAAGAAGTAACTTTTTCAGTTTACTCAGATACCCAATTCAGTAAAGAGCTCAATGCCAAGATAGGGTGCTGGTTTATAAGTCACCAAAAATAATTCTGGAGAACTGCACAAACTCTAGTTCCATCAAAAATAGGGCTGGGGTTGTGGCTCAGTGGTAGAGCGCTTGCCAATCATGTGTAAAGCACTGGGTTCAGTCCTCAACACCACACTTAAAAAAATAAATAAATAAAGGTATTGTGTCCATCTACACATAATTTTTAAAAATTAATACACATTTTCATACTCTGAACTTGCTACCCCAATATCCTCATAGGCAACTCAAACAGTTTAGTGGTTTTAGTATGAATTCCATCTATAAAGACCAAACAGCAGAAGCAAAAAAGCAGAAGTTACAAAAAGTACTGTGCCCACAGGGTATCATTAAAGCACTTCTAATATAAACAAAATCAGAGTTAGAAAGATGCTTATTAATTATCTATCCCAATCCCTTGGTTTACAAATAAGGTTTCTTAACACTCTTCACCCAGATATCAGACCATCAAATGGACATAAGGACAAAGGTAGTGTAAAAGAGAAAAAAGCATATCTGTATTACAAACAGGTAGGTTCTGCCATTCTGTTTTTGTTTAGTTTTTTTGTTTGTTTGGGGGATACTGGGTATTGAACACGGGGCACTTAACCACTGAACCACAGCCCTATCCCTTTTTTATTTTTGAGACAGGGTCTTGCTAAATTGCTTAGAGCCTTGCAAAGTTGCTGAGGCTGGCTTTAAACTTGCAATTCTTCTGCCTCAGCTTCCCAAACCACTGGGATTACAGGAGTGTGCCAGTGTACCTGGCAGTATATTTGCATTCTGTTTTTAATTTTTTTAGTTGTCAATGAACCCTTTATTTTGTTTACTTATACGCAGTGCTGAGAATTGAACCCAATGTCTCACACTGCCACTGAGCCCTATATTTATTCTCTTGATTTTCTTACACAGTAAGCTCATCTGAGCATTGCGATCCTTAGCCTCTTTCCTATTCAGGGACTGATCTTCGATTTTACTGTTCTCCACCTTTACTATGGCTCTATATCTCTTGTCTCCCAAAGTGGTTAAAATATCAACAAACAAAGGGAATGAAGGGAAGGGAGAGGGGATAAGAAAATAAGACAGTGGAATAAATCTGAAATAATTTTCCTATGTACACATATGAATACACCATAGTGAATCCCACCATCATGTACATCCATAATAGGATTCTAGTTAGAATATGATATATTCCTTGCTTATATAATTATATCAAAATGAATCCTACTATCATGTATAGCTCAAAAAGAACCAATAAAATAATAAAATAACAAAAAAGGTACAATACTTGGGTTCAAGACACATATCTTAAACAACACAAATTTCCTCCATTAATAGCAATTCTGCTTTCTCCTCTGTGTTCTGATTCATTCAATACAACAAGTACTGACTAGGTACCTATAGCGAGGCAGTGAGGAAAACATTGAAGATTAAAAATTTAGTAAGGCATAGTTCCTGCCCTCAAAAACTCATATCCTATTTTAATTAGGTTCCTACTAAGAATATAAAAAACAGAAGTACATTGAATGTAAAGGCAACAATGAGGAAGAGTTAAGTTAGAAGAATTGGGGAAGGCCTCTTAGATGAATTGGTTTTAGAAAATGACTAAGAGTGTACCACAATGGACAAGGAAAGAAAGAATGAGTCAGTGTATAATTTATAATCACAGCCACAGGACACATGAAGCCAACACATTTACACCATCAGCAAGTATAACAGTTGGTGGTACTCAAAAAGAACAAGAGGTAAAGAGGCCACCATAGAATATATAACATAAAAGGCCCATACAGGAGATTTCAGACTGCCTTTTGTTCAGAGCTACACTAAGTGCCAAAGAAGGTGCAAGAGGACATTAAGGCAGAATGCTGCATTTATACAATCTATAAGGGGTCTGCATGCATACAAAAATATCACCTAAGGTAGCAAGCAAGCTCAGGGGATATGATCACTTACTCACTTTTACTTTACTCTGTGCTTTTGCCTAACATACTCATTTACTTGGATGTCTGTATGGGACAATTCTTGTATTTCACTGCTTTCCTTTGTAGATCAGGTCACCTCTCCCCTCTCACTTCTCTTTTTCTTTCAGAAGGCAGCTTACAAATGGAAGAACTAGATACAGAAGACAACCGGTACAGATATTAAATAGGTTGGCAAGGGAAAACACCTCTAAAAGGGACACTGGAGAAAAGACCTAAAGAAAGTGAAGGAGCACACTGTGCACCTATTTAAGAAGAACTTTTCAGGCAAAGAAAACAACAAATGCAAAGGTTCTAAAATAGGCTTCATCTGACATAATCAAAGCAAGGGAGGCTGGAGAAGGACCAAAGGAAAAAGTAGT